AAAGAGGAGTTGATACCAAGGGCTCAAGCAGAAAGAAAATGTTTTGAGAACGATGATGGTGGCACCAAATGTACAAATGTGCTTGATACAATGGATGTATGGATTGTGATAAGAGTTGTATGAGCCCCCAATAAAATAATTTTAAAAAGAAAATAAAACACAGCAAGCAGCAAACAGAGTATCATTGTACTTCTCTGCGCTTGCCGGAAAGTTCTGCTTCTAGAAACCAGGGAATGTGGGACGGTGCAAGGAAAAGGGTGGGACAAGAACACCCAGCAGTGTTTGGGAGGAATGTCTGTCCCCTGCAGGGCAGTAGTTTTAAGACAAAGTCTCCTTCCTGCACGTGGATGTCTCGGAGGGGAAGTGAGAGGCCGGAGCGCAGCGGGCCGCTCTTTTGCAGGGCGGTAGAGAGCTAAGTGACAGAAATCACATGCAGGTTAGTGGATGGGGAGTGGGGGGGTGGCCCAAACCTGGAGTGCCAGCCAGGAGAATCCATGTGGATCCTGGCAGCCCAGGCTAAGAGCTCTTGGGAAGGTACATATTAAGAAGTCTCCTGAATTCCATGTGTGAGAGCTCTTATCTGTACCCATGTGTGTTCCCGGTCTAGCCAGATTTGTAAGTTAGAACTGGGTCGTGGTAGTCAGAGGGAGGAAGAACAGATAAACCCTTCAGGAACAGTAACGGGAGTAGTGATATCATGAGGGTGGGGGGACAGTTAGGGAGGGAGGGAGACTGAATATATAGCACATACACCCTGACCCCGCAGGGGAAGAATCACAGAAATGTGGGTGAATGGAGACAATGGACAGTGTAAGATATGAAATAACAATAAAACTATATAATTGATTAAGGATACACAAGGGAGGGAGAGGAGGGGAGGGAAGAAAAAAGAGCTGATGAAGAAAAAAGGGCTCAATTAGAAAATGTTTTGGAAATGATGATGGCACCATAGGTACAAATATGCTGGATCCAATTGATGCATGGATGGTCATAAGAGCTGTAAGAGCCTCCAATAAAATGATTTTTTTTTTTAAAAGAAGAAAGAAGTCTCCTTACCGTTTGGGGAATTCTCCCCAGAGCATCCGCGATCTCCATTGCCTTCTTCTCTGGTATCTCGGAGACCATGGATCCCAATGAGAAAACCACGACCCCGTGCTCCCCGGAAGCATTCACGTACGCTTGGAACTCCTGGAGCCGGGAGGGGGAGAAAAAAAACTCATTCAGGTGTGTCTCGGATTCTCTGGTGGCTACATACATTAAGCTATGGCCCAGGCACCTCCCTCTTAGCCATGTGGTTGAAGGCACGTAGCTGTTGGATGGGGACTGGTGGAGCCCCCAAGACGCAGGTCCTTAGACACCCTTCAGTTCTGGAGCTGAAATCACCCCAGTGACTCTAATTTCAGTCAAATAAGAGGCAGCTATGGAAGGGAAACAGTAACACTATTGAGTTGTGTATAATCAACCACTTCCGATCAAAAGGGGCAGCATTTACCCAAGGACAAAGTTCGCAAGGAATAGAAACAGAGGAGGGGGTGGGGAGAAATCCCAGAAAGAGTTCACTACAGAGCCCTTCACCACGACAGTGTTCCCGTGCGCGCGCGCACACACACACAGCAGCATCAAACAAGGGCCATTTTGTGAGTTTCCTTGGGAAGTCATTAGGCATCCACCTTACAGTCCTCGCTTGGTGCCATCTAACTTTTTGTTTCCTAAATCTT